CTCAAAAATTTAAACCACTGTAGAAGTACATTTAATTACATACAGTCATAATATAGGAACACACACACACAAAAAAAAAAAAAAAAGATTGAAGCTTAAAAGAAATTCTGGGATGTGTTTTAATCTCGACTTCTGTTCAGCTTCCTTTTGCATTTCCTTATACAATGAAAGCTGTGAACTGCCTATTCTTTCCAGTGATACCAGGAACGGGTCCAAAAGCTGCTGCATTAGAGCAGCAAGGTGTTCCCTGCCACACACCCTCTGCACGGTGCCTGCAGCACTGGTGCAGCACAGCCAGAGAGAATTCCTGGTATTTCACTTGGTGCTTGGAGTGGAGAAGTGAGGATGGTCCACAATTCAGAGAGCTAATGCTGCTCCTAGCAGTAATGCCTCCAACCTCTCCTTGTGAAGATGGGCTCACACTTTTCTTCTGTCTCCCTTTGTGAAGAAAATACAATAAAAATGACCTTTCAGTATTGCCTGAGTAGTCCTCATTCATTAGCACCACCAGGACTTTGTCTGACCATCATGAGCAAAGGCATGAAAAATTATCTACATTACTAGGAAAAAGGCAGCTTGGAAGCCAAAGGAAACTCACACACACATAAAATTATGATTATCCAGGTTTCTTACAACATTTTGGTTCTTTCTGCCTTCTTTTGCTGCTGGTGGTTCCCAGTACTCCCCAATTACCAGGTCTAGTGTTCATCCCTAGCTGCTATTTAAGAAGAATCTCTTTATAATATCAGTAAAAGGAAAGGTGGCTTCATCCTGGCTCAAATCAGGACATAGGTATCTTCCCCTTTCCCACCACCTCAAGCCTACCTTGCTGCTTCACCTTCATTCCAGACTGAACATTGTCAATGGCTAAAACTTTGATCATTTTCCTCTCTGTGAGTTCCTCCACCCTAAGCAAAATCAGCCCCTAAAATACCTTCTTACATTTAAACTTGATCATTTCATCCTTTCTGAATGCTCTTAGATACTCCTTTTTTCCACTTCATCCATTTTTCATTTACTGATTCTATTCCACAGCTCTTGTTCTTCTGTATTTCATACACACAACACAGCTTACACATTTAAGTATACAGACACTACATAATGAAGCCAGTCCCTATACCTACATGCTGCTCCTTTGCTCCATTTTGAGAGGTAAGGACCTGTCTTTTATTTTTTGTGTAGTAATGATGGCATCTTCCATGTGAAAGAGATAAGTTAGGCAGACTGACAGAGCTGGAATATTTGGAATAATCAAGGTCAGGTTTCTGTTGGCTTCTCCCTCTTGATGCATCTCAGTCGATGCATCACAGTCCTGCCCCTGGCTGCTCCTGACCAACACAAAACACTCAAAATCCTACAAGCACTGACCATAGTGCGAGTGGGTCCTTCCTCCAATCACTCTGCTGATGGGACCAAAAGCCTGCTTTCCTTCCTACATCCTGCTCCACCAGGAGGATGTTTCCATGGCAATGGTCAATTGAAAATGGCAGCCTTGTTCCTTCACTATTTGCTGCATTGCTGTTGACAGAAGTAAAGGTCTTGCTCTTATTTCTCAATTTGAATGGAGGAATTTTCCATTAGATTTATCCCTAGTATCCAGATGCCCACAGACAATTCAGCTTTGATTTTCTAACCCTCCACGTCCACTCATGACTGATGATGGAAAGATTTCCCGAGCCCTGCTGCTGGGGATGCAGGCAGGGAAGATCCCCTCACACATCCAGCCTTTCCTCAAGACACTCCCTGAGTTTTAACGTCTTTGTAAGGATTTGTAAAGACATTTCACTCTCAGCTGGTCTTTAAAGAGAAGTCTTTCTTCCAAAATGAGACCTTTCCTTCAAGGTCTGCTCAGATGCAACTGGAGGCTTAATAGTAAATGGGAAATGTGTGATTCAACTACACTCAGAGAGGAACAGAAGTGACTCTTCTGGAGCTGCCTGGAGTGAGACTCCTGCGACTTTTATTTGCAGCTAAAGCAATTTTTACTCACAGCACCTGAAGTCCCAGGGTGCTCACACAAGGAAGAGCAGCGCTGCAGAGTGAACTGCCAACCTGTTCTCCTCACCCGGAACAGGGAGGCGATCGTGCTCGGGGTTCTTGCCTCCGACGACGTTCATCAGGACAGAGCAGCGCCCACCGGGCCGTTCCCTTCCGCAGGACTCGGAATTCCTGGTCCGATTTGCTGAACAGCCGCGGGCTGCACCGCGCGCAGCGTAACTAACGCAGGAGGAGCCTGTCCCTGGCCGAGCCCCGA